CATGTCAAAGAGGAGGGAGCGATTGTAGACAAAGGTCTACGTATTTCATGTGACAGAGGAGGGAGAGAGTGTAGACAAAGGTCTACGTATTTCATGTGACAGAGGAGGGAGAGATTGTAGACGAAGGTGAACGTAGTTCATGTCATAGAGGAGGGAGAGAATGTAGACAAAGGTCTTCTTAGTTCATGTCACAGAGGAGGGAGAGAGTGTAGATGAAGGTCTACGTAGTTCATGTCACAGTGGAGGGAGAGAGTGTAGATGAAGGTCTACGTAGTTAATGTCACAGAGGAGGGAGAACGTGTAGACAAAGGTCTACGTAGTTTATGTCACAGTGGAGGGAGAACGTGTAGACAAAGGTCAACGTACTTCATGTCACAGTGGAGGGAGAGAGTGTAGATGAAGGTCTACGTACTTCATGTCACAGAGGAGGGAGAGAGTGTAGACAAAGGTCTTCGTACTTCATGTCACAGAGGAGGGATAGAGTGTAGACAAAGGTCTACGTACTTCATGTCACAGAGGAGGGAGAGAGTGTAGACAAAGGTCTACGTAGTTCAAGTCACAGTGGAGGGAGAGAGTGTAGACAAAGGTCTACGTAGTTCATGTCACAGTGGAGGGAGAGAGTGTAGACAAATGTCTACGTACTTCATGTCACAGTGGAGGGAGAGAGTGTAGATGAAGGTCTACGTAGTTCATGTCACAGAGGAGGGAGAGAGTGTAGACAAATGTCTACGTACTTCATGTCACAGTGGAGGGAGAGAGTGTAGACAAAGGTCTACGTAGTTCAAGTCACAGTGGAGGGAGAGAGTGTAGACAAAGGTCTACGTAGTTCATGTCACAGAGGAGGGAGAGAGTGTAGACAAAGGTCTACATAGTTCATGTCACAGTGGAGGGAGAGAGTGTAGAAAAAGGTCTACGTACTTCATGTCACAGAGGAGAGAGAGAGTGTAGACAAAGGTCTACGTACTTCATGTCACAGTGGAGGGAGAGAGTGTAGATGAAGGTCTACGTAGTTCATGTCACAGTGGAGGGAGAGAGTGTAGATGAAGGTCTACGTAGTTAATGTCACAGAGGAGGGAGAACGTGTAGACAAAGGTCTACGTAGTTCATGTCACAGAGAAATGAGAGAGTGTAGACAAAGGTCTACGCTGTTCACGAGGAGGGAGAGAGTGTAGACGAAGGTCTACGTACTTCATGTCACAGTGGATGGAGAGAGTGTAGATGAAGGTCTACGTAGTTCATGTCACAGTGGAGGGAGAGAGTGTAGACGAAGGTCTACGTAGTTCATGAGGAGGGAGAGAGTGTAGACGAAGGTCTACGTAGTTCATGTCAAAGAGGAGGTAGCGATTGTAGACAAAGGTCTACTTAGTTCATGTCACAGAGGAGGGAGAGAGTGTAGATGAAGGTCTACGTAGTTCATGTCACAGTGGAGGGAGAGAGTGTAGATGAAGGTCTACGTAGTTAATGTCACAGAGGAGGGAGAACGTGTAGACAAAGGTCTACGTAGTTCATGTCACAGTGGAGGGAGAACGTGTAGACAAAGGTCAACGTACTTCATGTCACAGTGGAGGGAGAGAGTGTAGATGAAGGTCTACGTACTTCATGTCACAGAGGAGGGAGAGAGTGTAGACAAAGGTCTTCGTACTTCATGTCACAGAGGAGGGATAGAGTGTAGACAAAGGTCTACGTACTTCATGTCACAGAGGAGGGAGAGAGTGTAGACAAAGGTCTACGTAGTTCAAGTCACAGTGGAGGGAGAGAGTGTAGACAAAGGTCTACGTAGTTCATGTCACAGAGGAGGGAGAGAGTGTAGACAAAGGTCTACGTACTTCATGTCACAGAGGAGGGAGAGAGTGTAGACAAAGGTCTACATAGTTCATGTCACAGAGGAGGGAGAGAGTGTAGACAAAGGTCTACATAGTTCATGTCACAGTGGAGGGAGAGAGTGTAGACAAAGGTCTACGTACTTCATGTCACAGAGGAGAGAGAGAGTGTAGACAAAGGTCTACGTAGTTCATGTCACAGTGGAGGGAGAGAGTGTAGATGAAGGTCTACGTAGTTAATGTCACAGAGGAGGGAGAACGTGTAGACAAAGGTCTACGTAGTTCATATCACAGAGGAATGAGAGAGTGTAGACAAAGGTCTACGCTGTTCATGAGGAGGGAGAGAGTGTAGACGAAGGTCTACGTACTTCATGTCACAGTTGATGGAGAGAGTGTAGATGAAGGTCTACGTAGTTCATGTCACAGTGGAGGGAGAGAGTGTAGACAAAGGTCTACGTAGTTCATGTCACAGAGGAGGGAGAGAGTTTAGACAAAGGTCTAGTCTGGGTGGGAGGTGGGAAGACGGAAAGGAGATAACACAGAAAGAGGGCGCAATTCTGGAAGAGCGAGTGAGTGAGTGTGTTGTTTAACGCCGCACTCGGCAATATTCAAGTTATATGACGGTCTGTAAATAATCGAGTCTGGAACAGACAATCCAGTGATCGATATAATGAGCATCGATCTAGGCAGTTCGAATACGATGACATGCATCAACCAAGTCAGCGATCCTGACCACCCGATCCCTTTTGTCGCCTCTTACGACAAGCATAGTTGCCCCTTACGGCAAACAAAGGTTGCTGAAGACCTATTGTACCCCGGATCTTCACAGGTTGAGTGAGTGTGACTGAGAGGGAGGTGGAAGATAGAAGTATTGAGAAACGTTAACGCGGATAGAGAGAACATGTGATGAAGGAAGATCTATATATCACGCTGTAAAAGAGAAGATCTATACACGTTGAACGCATAGAGAGAGAATATCTACACAACGCTGAGAGAGAGATCTATACAAGTACAAGGTAATACAGAAAGATGAGATTTGGTGAGTGGTTGCTATACCAAGATGTAATCTACATACATCAGGACTGTCTTGAGACAAAATCTAAAACAAAGTGGGGGCACGGGTGGCCCAGTCGTCTAAGGCGCCGCGATTCGCTGTGCCACACCAGAAACCTAAGATTGTGGATTCGAATCCCGGTTCGCCCCGATTATGTTTCTAGGTTTGTCAGCACCATACCCGTGCTCGTGGGTTTCACCGAAGTGGTAAACGTCTGAGAACTGCATCACTTCTGGCTTTCCTCCAACATTAAGCTGACACGCCGCGATATAACTGGAATACTGTTAAAATCGGCGTTAAACCCAACTCACTCATAATGAAACAAAGTATTGAGGATGAGCTGTTACCGGGTGTTCTGCACGCCTTTAAACCCGAAAAACCAGCCTCAACAAGGTTGAAGAACTGGCCCACACTCATCCTACTGAACCATTTGAGATGGAAGTAGCAGCATTCAATATGTTTGTTTGTTTGTTATTTAACGCCGCACTCAGCAATATTCCAGCGATATGATGGCGGTCTGTAAGTAATCGAGTCTGGATCAGACAATACAGTGACTGATGTCATGAGCATCGGTCTCCGCAATTGGAATACGATGACATGCATCAACCAAGCCAGCGAGCCCGACCACCCAATCCCGTAAGTCGCCTCTTACGACAAGCATGTAAACTTTTAACTTTTATACATTTTAACTTTAAATGCATTAATTAAACATTGACTTCTCGGGACGTCTTAACTGGGACTGAACATTAATATGAATATGTTTAGTCTTTAACTGTAATGCATAATACGGTAATGAAATTGATTAGGGGTACTCCTTTGTTTTCGTTTGTTTTCGTTTTATTTGCCTGGTACAGTGAGCGCCAAATCCTGGGTCAACGAACCGTGTCTGAGTCACTACTGGTCCCGGGAACGCCAAGAGGATTTTTCCTCCTAAATATTAAATGTGGCACTCCCGGGCCTCCGTCGTCCCGACTTCACCCCTCGCATACCAGTACGACAACTGGGATGTCCATCTCTATTTAATCACAGGTCTTACACTTCACATCATACAATAATAAAAATGTGTACCGTTGTCGTTATTATTTGTATTGTTGTGATCAAATAACATAAAACTCAGTATTTGATTAAAATAATATTATCATTTTACGTATTTTATGTATTGATACAAGCATCATTAACATGCCATCTACAGTATGTATATACAGTAAACTACGGTTATAACTCGAAGGGACCACTAATTGTAGTTCGTAATAACCGAAGTTCGTTATGAGCATATATATAACATTTATACAACAAATGGTCGGGGCTAAAAAAAATCGTTATATCTGTCAGTTCGTCATAAGCGTGTTCGTTATAAACGTAGATTACTGTATAATATATAGGTGAGCTACAATTGCAAGCTGTCATTTTGTCTGTAGAAATATTCTAGAATTTCACAGTTTGACTACTTTGTTGTTAAGATCAGACAACCCCACGCCAGAACGAATACAGTAAATTACGCTTATAACGAACACGCTTATAACGAACGGACCGATAAAACGAACTTATTATTTAGTCCCGGTCATTTGTTGTATATATGCTGTATATATGTTTATAACGAACTGCGTTTATTACGAACTAAAATCAGTGGTCCATTTGAGTTCGTTATAACCGAAGTTCACTGTATATTTTACGAATCTATTATGAAGTATGGTTTCTCATGCTAATAAAAAGATTTGCCGGAAACAGTTAAAACAAAAAGATACGAAACTATGAAAAAGATATTTACACAAGAACAAGGTAAAATGGTGAGTGTCGCCGAGAATGATCATCGCGTTCCGACGCAGTTTGTTCCAACACGGCTAGATTAAGTGACTTTGTGTCACAGGAACGATTGTCCAAAAAGTTCTCTTCTCATTCACTGGGCTGTGTGAAGCATATTTTACGAATGTTCTCTCGTGTGGGGAGATCACCGAAGCGGTCGTACAATCTCTCTACGTGTTACTAATTCCCGCTTTTATACTGCCAATGAGTAAGTTTGCAGTATTTGAGATGTTTCACAGAATGTTAGCTTTTATTCGTAAGCTACTTTTTGCTCACGGATCAGGTGACTTGGGTGATGAGCAGAGACCAGGGTATCTACCCACCCAGTGTGTACTCCGCTGTGCTTTTATCACATCATCTACCACAATCGACATCGTGTTTACCTCATTGCTTCAATGGACTTAATTAATCTTTCCTGTTAATCTCACTGGCTTCGTCATTATAATGTTATCTTAATCCTATCTCATCGGCTTCGTCATTATATTGTTATCTTTGTACATTAATCCTATCCCATCGCATCTTTCCGTAACATAATCACAAAGTGACTTCACATCACGATTACCCTCACAGAAAAAGCACGTATCTGTCCTGTACTGTTATCATACTGCATTATGCCACCAGCGGCTGTGATGGTGTATAACATATTAGAGTAATCTCCCTTGGCGACCTAGCCGTCGGGACCCCCTGTTTTACCAGATGTACCACCCGTGTATGTATGGCAATAAATACAAGATGGAACACAGAATGTCGTTCTCCATTATTTATTCGTCGGAGGCAGCAACAGCCTAGGGCTAGTTCAAGTGCTACAAATCATTCCCAAAGCGTGAGAATATTACATGGTGTCAGAGTCATGGATCTTTCCGGAATCCCCACCCCATCTATGGACTGGGAAGCATCAAACCTGCCTGATGCGTGGCGGCGTTTTAAACAGCACGTGCAACTGATATTCGACGGACCGTTGGTGGAAAAGTCGGAAGAATCGAAGTGCTCATACCTCCTACTTTGGGTGGGAGAAAAAGGTAGAGATGTTTACAATACATGGACAGGCATTTCTGATGATGACAAAAAGTTACTTCAAACTTACTACACTCGCTACGCAGCATACGTCCAGCCAAAGTTGAATCCTGTTTTCGCAAGGTACAAATTCAATAACGAAGTTCAGGGGTCATCTCACTTTGATCAGTTTGTGACTAGATTAAAGCTGCTAGCTACAGATTGTGCATTTAATACATCTGATGAAATGGTGAGGGACCGCATAGTGTTCGGCACATCATCTACTAAACTTCGTGCAAAATTGATAAATGAAGGGGAGAAATTGACACTCGAGAAAGCAATTCAAATGGGACAAAGTTTGGAATACTCTCAGGAACAGTTGAAAACAATGGCCAACCCTGAGGTACATACAGTTTCAGCCAGTGATAATTCCCATCGACACAAAAAGTATCATTACTCCCGACAGAAATCACAACCTGTAAAACCCCACAACACAACAAATAGAAGATCATCAAACAGTGATGACAAAACACATAGTCAGTGTAGAAACTGTGGTAGATCACATTCTAAGCGTGAACCGTGTCCTGCCAAAGGTAGAAAATGTGACAATTGTGGAAAGTGGAATCATTTCAAGATTGTGTGTCGCTCAGTGAAAGTCAATGAGGTTGTGACAGATGAACGCTTTGATTCAGGGGACTCAGACTTTCTCATAGACTTAATTGATAGCGTGGATACATCTAGTGATGTTGACAGTGTCCACTCCAAAACTGAGGATACTAACCAGGCTTTTGTTACTGTGAAGGTAGGAATTAAGGGCATACCAGTGGAATTCAAATTAGATACAGGGTCTCAGGTAAATATCATACCAGCTGGATTATTCCCCAAAATTGGCACTACAACTGTACTCAGTAAACCGCCCAAACAGTTGATGGCGTATGGCGGTACACATCTTCAAACTCACGGTACATGTAGCTTACCTTGTCAGATTGATGATCGTGAATTCACAGCTGAGTATTACGTTGTAGAGACAGAATCAAACCCTGTACTCAGTCTCAAAACATGCCTTGAATTGGAGCTTATCCAACTTACCTGTGCGGTTGATACTTGTGGATCGAGTGAGAAATCTGGAAAACCTCTTGAGAAGAGCACCATTCTTGCAGAATATGCCGATGTGTTTGAGGGCATTGGGCTCTTTCCAGGTGAATGTACGATACACATCGATCCGAGTGCTATCCCTGTAGTTCACCCACCACGAAAAGTTCCAGTCGCACTTCGTGAAAGACTCAAAGACGAACTTGATCGGATGGAAAAGTCAAACATTATCACAAAGGTTGATGAACCAACTGAATGGGTCAACTCTTTAGTAATCGTTGAAAAGCCACACTCAAAGAAACTGCGCATATGCTTGGATCCATTGGACCTGAATCGTGCTATACAGCGTCCACACTACCCAATGAAAACACTTGAAGACATCCTTCCAAGCCTCTCTAAGGCTCGTTATTTCACTAAACTCGATGCTCGATCTGGATATTGGGCCATCAGACTGGCTGAGGAATCTTCATTTCTTACAACGTTCAACACCCCGTATGGACGTTACAGATTTTTTAGACTACCCTTTGGGATACGTTCAGCACAAGATGAATTTCAGCGAAGGATTGACGAGTGCTATGAGGGACTAGATGGCGTTGCAGCCATAGTTGATGACGTTCTGGTGTATGGAAGTACTCCCGAGGAGCATGATCACAACCTGCGGAACATGCTTTCCCGCTCCCGTGACAAAGGTATTAAGCTTAACGAAGAGAAGCTTGAAGTTGGTGTCACAGAGATCCAATACTTTGGACACATCTTGAGTGCTGAAGGCCTCAGACCGGACCCAGCTAAGGTCTCTGCTATATGCTCAATGAATCCACCACGTGACCGCTCTGAATTGGAAACAATTCTTGGAATGGTTAATTATTTAGCCAAGTTTGCTCCTAATCTGTCCGAGATCACCAGCCCTCTGCGACAGCTCCTTCCCAAAGACGTTGAGTTTGTGTGGGATCATCCTCAGTCCACAGCGTTTCAGAGAATCAAGGATATCATCACACAGACACCTGGGCAAGTTCTTGCCTACTACGACCCAGACAAGGATCTAACACTCCAAGTTGATGCATCCAAGTATGGTCTTGGTGCCGCTCTCTTACAGGATGGGAAGCCTGTCACTTATGCATCTAAGTCTTTGACCACCACAGAGGTCAATTATGCACAGATCGAAAAGGAAATGTTTGCTATCCTGTTCGGCTGTAAGCGTTTCCACCAGTATGTTTATGGTCGGCATGTGAAAGTCGAGTCCGATCATAAACCTCTCATCTCTATCATGAAGAAGCCTCTTGCTGTCGCCCCTGCTCGGTTACAGCGTATGATGTTGCAGCTACAAAAGTATGACCTCACAGTTGAACACAGACCTGGGAAGGAAATAGTAGTAGCTGATACACTTTCACGCAAGTCAGTGCCTGATACCTACCCGCACCTTTCAGAAGGTATGGACGCGCATGTCCATATGATAGTATCAAATGTTCCTGTCAGTGAGAAGAGGATGGAGGATATTAGACGAGCCACAGAAACTGACCCTCAGTTCTCCTTGCTCCAACAAACTATCATAGATGGTTGGCCTGAACATAGGAAGCTATGCCCAGGGACAATACTTGAATTCTGGAACTTCAGGGACCAACTTGCCTTCATGGATGGCATCATATTCAAGGGCCAGAAAATTGTCATACCCAAGTCCCTGAGGACAAGTATGCTTGACAAAATTCACACTGGACACATGGGAGTTGAAAAGTGTCTCCGACGTGCTCGTGACATTTTGTTTTGGCCCAAAATGTCGAATGATATCACAAGTCTTGTACTCAACTGTTCTGTGTGCCTAGAGAGAAGAAACTCTAACCCCAAGGAACCCCTCATATCACATGACATTCCCAGTCGTCCTTGGCAGACCGTGGCCACAGATCTCTTCTTATGGGACACCCATGATTTTGTGGTCGTTGTCGACTATTATAGCAGGTACTTTGAAGTTTGCAAATTACCCAGCACCAAAAGCACCACTGTTATCAATGCTCTCAAAGATGTATTTGCGAGACATGGGATACCGGATAAGGTGATATCTGACAATGGCCCCCAGTACTCCTCACAAGACTTTGCTCAGTTTGCAGAAAAATGGGACTTTGTGCATGAGACATCAAGCCCTCGTTACCCACAGTCAAATGGTCTTGCCGAGAAAACTGTCCAAACAATCAAGCGCATTTTTTCCAAGGCAAAGACAGATGGCAGAGATCCACACATTGGTATTCTAGAGTACCGTACTACCCCAATGGAGGCAAATCTATCACCCTCTCAGCTACTCATGGGTCGACGATTACGATCCACATTACCTTGTACCCAACATCAACTTTTGCCTGGATCTGTTGATCATTCTCAGTACCAGAAAGTACTACAAGCAAGTCGGAGGAAACAAAAGCACTACTACGATACTGCTGCCAAGCCCCTGTTGCCCCTTAAAACAGGAGAAGCAATTCGTGTACGACAACACAATAACTTGTGGACACCTGCAGTAGTCACAAAGCAGCACAATTCCAGGTCTTACACTGTTCGCACTGGCGATGGAGCGGAATATCGTCGCAACCGACGTCACCTACTAAAGACACGTGAAAAGCATGACATACCTGAAATGAACATTGATGTCACAAGTAGTGAGTTACCACGTGTTCAACAGAGTGACAGAGCCGTTACCTGTACTCGTGATACAGCTGAGGTCAAACCCTCTGATGACCCTGTAACATCACCGATCCCATCACGAAGACACAGTCCCCAGAAAGTTATTGACAATGCCAATAATCAATATATCACTCGTTCGGGTCGGGTTGTCAAACCCAAGGTTATTGCCTCAGTGTAGTTTTTACCAGTTTTAGCTCAAGATGATTGTAAGACTATACAACAGTCAACCACAGTAAGTTTGTATCAGTGTCATTCTGATAGGCTATGTAGGCCACTTCACAATATTAGTTAGAATTTACAGTCAAGAATTGACAACCTTTGATTTATTAGTTGTAATTCAAGTTTGAAGTGTTAAGCATCATTGAAGTAATTGAATATAATCAATATCAAGTGTCTACTCTTTGTAGTCGTTTTCTGTGCTCTGTAGTTCACTTACTGTTAATGTGTCCAACTTTTTTTTATAAGAAAAGGGATGTACTGTTATCATACTGCATTATGCCACCAGCGGCTGTGATGGTGTATAACATATTAGAGTAATCTCCCTTGGCGACCTAGCCGTCGGGACCCCCTGTTTTACCAGATGTACCACCCGTGTATGTATGGCAATAAATACAAGATGGAACACAGAATGTCGTTCTCCATTATTTATTCGTCGGAGGCAGCAACAGCCTAGGGCTAGTTCAAGTGCTACAAATCATTCCCAAAGCGTGAGAATATTACATGTCCCTGGTCAGTGACAGTCTATAGGGTGTGAGCCGAAGCATGGTGATGTTTGACCTGTGGAAACAAACACAATAATATGATAAACACATTCAAAGGGACAAACTTCACTACACATGCGCGAACGCACCGCACACGTACCTCGCACTCACTCACTCAGAGTAAAAGAGAGACAGACAGAGAGAGAGAGAGAGAGAGTGTGTGTGTGTGTGTGTGTGTGTTTGTGTGTGTTGGGGGGGGGGGGAGGGAGGGGGGGGGGGTGTTGCGAAGAAGAGGCTTAAGAAGAAGAAACATTACATTTGGCAAATATTACAACAACAATATACTTGCACTCACTCACTCAGAGTAAAAGAGAGACAGAAAGGAAGAGAGAGTTTGAGAGAGAGGGAGAGAGTGTGAGAGAGAGAGAGAAAGAGAGAGAGGTGGAATTGCGAAGAAGACGGTTAAGGAGAAGAAACATTACATTTGGCAAATATTACAACAACAATATACTTGCACTCACTCACTCAGAGTAAAAGAGAGACAGAAAGGAAGAGAGAGTTTGAGAGAGAGGGAGAGAGTGTGAGAGAGAGAGAGAAAGAGAGAGAGGTGGAATTGCGAAGAAGACGGTTAAGGAGAAGAAACATTTCATTTGGCAAATATTACAACAACAATATACTTGTCGCGAATGTCAGTCACATCTCTCCTCTCATACAATCATTATCATCCTTAGAATTTGATTAAACGATGCTCTGTGTACCTGATATAATTGTATGTTAGTGCATATTACTCTCGCCGAGAAAGCATGTATCTGTCCCTGGTCAGTGAAAGATAGAAGGCGATTACTACCGAGCGTTTCCGAGTGGTCTTTCACAACAAAATGGCTGACAAGCCTATCGTTATATAGCTTAGCTTTGTGTAAGTGTATCGGGTGAGCCGTAGCATGGTGGTTAGATACAGGTCTAAGAGACGAAGTATCTATCGTGTGAGACAGAAGCATATGATCTATCCTCGTTGGGGCGGCTTCGGCCAAACCGCGGGGATTCTACCATGTCAACTCGACACTCACCTTTTTTTCAATTTGTAATTGAAATTGTTTGTAGTTATAGATTCAATTACTTATTAAATAACCGCGATATAACGTTCTTAGAAAATAGCAGGCTCTTAACTGATACCTAAATTATAGTAAGTAATCTCAGTGTTTATTTGTCTAAAATATAGCCGTGATGGTTCCTGAATAGGCGACTTTGACTTATGTTTGACCTGTGGAAACAAACAAAATAATATGATAAACACAATCATTCAAAAGGACAATCTTCACTACACATGCGCGAACGCACCGCACACGCCCCTCGCACTCACTCACTCAGAGTAAAAGAGAGACAGAGAGGAAGAGAGAGTTTGAGAGAGAGGGAGAGAGTGTGTGAGAGAGAGAGGGAGAGAGACAGAGAAAGAGAGAGAGGCAGAGAGAGAGAGAGAGGTGGAATTGCTAAGAAGACGGTTAAGGAGAAGAAACATTTCATTTGGCAAATATTACAACAACAATATACTTGTCGTGAATGTCAGTCACGTCTCTCCTCTCATAAAATCATTATCATCCTTAAAATTTGATTTAACGATGCTCTGTGTACCTGATATAATTGTATGTTAGTGCATATTACTCTCGCCGAGAAAACATGTATCTGTCCCTGGTCAGTGAAAGATAGAAGGCGATTACTACCGAGCGTTTCCGAGTGGTCTTTCACAACAAAATGGCTGACAAGCCTATCGTTATATAGCTTAGCTTTGTGTAAGTGTATCGGGTGAGCCGTGGTTAGATACAGGTCTAAGAGACGAAGTATCTATCGTGTGAGACAGAAGCATATGATCTATCCTCGTTGGGGCGGCTTCGGCCAAACCGCGGGGATTCTACCATGTCAACTCGACACTCACCTTTTTTTCAATTTGTAATTAAAATTGTATGTAGTTATGGACTATATTACTTATTAAATAACCGCGATATAACGTTCTTAGAAAATAGCAGGCTCTTAACTGACACCTAAATTATAGTAAGTAATCTCAGTGTTTATTTGTCTAAAATATAGCCGTGATGGTTCCTGAAGAAGCGACTTTCATTGATGTTTGACCTGTGGAAACAAACACAATAATATGATAAACACATTCAAAAGGGCAAACTTCACTACACATGCGCGAACGCACCGCGCACGTCCCTCGCACTCACTCACTCAGAGTAAAAGAGAGACAGAGAGGAAGAGAGAGTGTGAGAGAGAGGGAGAGAGACAGAGAAAGAGGGAGAGGCACAGAGAGAAAGATAGAGAGAGGGAGGGGGTGGTGGAATTGCGAAGAAGAAGGTTAAGGAGAAGAAACATTTCATTTGGCAAATATTACAACAACAATATACTTGTCGTGAATGTCAGTCACGTCTCTCCTCTCATAAAATCATTATCATCCTTAAAATTTGATTTAACGATGCTCTGTGTACCTGATATAATTGTATGTTAGTGCATATTACTCTCGCCGAGAAAACATGTATCTGTCCCTGGTCAGTGAAAGATAGAAGGCGATTACTACCGAGCGTTTCCGAGTGGTCTTTCACAACAAAATGGCTGACAAGCCTATCGTTATATAGCTTAGCTTTGTGTAAGTGTATCGGGTGAGCCGTAGCATGGTGGTTAGATACAGGTCTAAGAGACGAACTATCTATCGTGTGAGACAGAAGCATATGATCTATCCTCGTTGGGGCGGCTTCGGCCAAACCGCGGGGATTCTACCATGTCAACTCGACACTCACCTTTTTTTCAATTTGTAATTAAAATTGTATGTAGTTATGGACTATATTACTTATTAAATAACCGCGATATAACGTTCTTAGAAAATAGCAGGCTCTTAACTGACACCTAAATTATAGTAAGTAATCTCAGTGTTTATTTGTCTAAAATATAGCCGTGATGGTTCCTGAAGAAGCGACTTTCATTGATGTTTGACCTGTGGAAACAAACACAATAATATGATAAACACATTCAAAAGGGCAAACTTCACTACACATGCGCGAACGCACCGCGCACGTCCCTCGCACTCACTCACTCAGAGTAAAAGAGAGACAGAGAGGAAGAGAGAGTGTGAGAGAGAGGGAGAGAGACAGAGAAAGAGGGAGAGGCACAGAGAGAAAGATAGAGAGAGGGAGGGGGTGGTGGAATTGCGAAGAAGAAGGTTAAGGAGAAGAAACATTTCATTTGGCAAATATTACAACAACAATATACTTGTCGTGAATGTCAGTCACGTCTCTCCTCTCATAAAATCATTATCATCCTTAAAATTTGATTTAACGATGCTCTGTGTACCTGATATAATTGTATGTTAGTGCATATTACTCTCGCCGAGAAAACATGTATCTGTCCCTGGTCAGTGAAAGATAGAAGGCGATTACTACCGAGCGTTTCCGAGTGGTCTTTCACAACAAAATGGCTGACAAGCCTATCGTTATATAGCTTAGCTTTGTGTAAGTGTATCGGGTGAGCCGTAGCATGGTGGTTAGATACAGGTCTAAGAGACGAACTATCTATCGTGTGAGACAGAAGCATATGATCTATCCTCGTTGGGGCGGCTTCGGCCAAACCGCGGGGATTCTACCATGTCAACTCGACACTCACCTTTTTTTCAATTTGTAATTAAAATTGTATGTAGTTATGGACTATATTACTTATTAAATAACCGCGATATAACGTTCTTAGAAAATAGCAGGCTCTTAACTGACACCTAAATTATAGTAAGTAATCTCAGTGTTTATTTGTCTAAAATATAGCCGTGATGGTTCCTGAAGAAGCGACTTTCATTGATGTTTGACCTGTGGAAACAAACACAATAATATGATAAACACATTCAAAAGGGCAAACTTCACTACACATGCGCGAACGCACGGCGCACGTCCCTCGCACTCACTCACTCAGAGTAAAAGAGAGACAGAGAGGAAGAGAGAGTTTGAGAGAGAGGGAGAGAGACAGAGAAAGAGGGAGAGGCACAGAGAGAAAGATAGAGAGAGAGAGGGGGTGGTGGAATTGCGAAGAAGAAGGTTAAGGAGAAGAAACATTTCATTTGGCAAATATTATAACAACAATATACTTGTCGTGAATGTCAGTCACGTCTCTCCTCTCATAAAATCATTATCATCCTTAAAATTTGATTAAACGATGCTCTGTGTACCTGATATAATTGTATGTTACTGCATATTACTCTCGCCGAAAAAGCACGTATCTGTCCCTGGTCAGTGAAAGATAGAAGGCGATTACTACCGAGCGTTTCCGAGTGGTCTTTCACAACAAAATGGCTGACAAGCCTATCGTTATATAGCTTAGCTTTGTGTAAGTGTATCGGGTGAGCCGTAGCATGGTGGTTAGATACAGGTCTAAGAGACGAACTATCTATCGTGTGAGACAGAAGCATATGATCTATCCTCGTTGGGGCGGCTTCGGCCAAACCGCG